ACTGAATATATGCTGTCTCTGCTGAAGAAGACAGCCAAAACCCAAGCCAAACTAAGCTCTTCGATGGGCATGTGAGCACTGACCACTCCTCAATGCCAAAAATTTAGACTACGTCCTCTATGGCCAGGAATATCTTAACTGTTCTAACTGCTGAGTTTTGTGGAACAAAAATGCTTCAGAAAGTTCTAGTGCAGCACTACAAAAATGCTAATGCAAAGACCCTCTCTCCTTCCCTTTACTCCTAAACAGTACCACACTGTGCTGCAGCTTGATAGGGACCTGCTAAAGACCATTCAACTCAACAAGCTGACGCTGCAAAATTAATGATTCATCAAAATGGGTGCACTGCCTCTAGACTAAGTGCCTCTATCAAATATCTCCTGGGACTTGGGTTGACCCTGGAAACAGACTGAGAAGTGCACAGGTTTTACATAACAGAATTCCTGAAGGTCATCCCCTAGAGATAATAGTACAGAAGACATTTTAATCCTTTGATGCAAACTAGAAAGGGTTCCTCAACAATAATTCACAAAAAAAACCCCAAGAGGCAAAAGGGGACAAGGAGAGTGTTTGCTTTTGTTCATAAAAATACATGCTGGAAATCATCTTGTATGGGATGAGGAACATCCCAGTACAGCACAATTATTAGTTGTAAGGATCAGGCCCATTGATTCAAACGTAAGTTCAGAATGTGATCACTGACCAAAATACAATCCAAAATCATTGGTGGTTTATATTATTTCTTAGGTTGTCACTGGTCACGCTGCACTGTATAAGAGATCCAGCTTGGTATACACTGCTTCCTTCCACGAAGAAAAAGACGAATTTAACATTGAAACGGATCTTGCTGCAGTGAACTTATGATCAATACTGCATGAGGCCTAAAGGGTGTAAAACATCCAGTGAAAGGTCAAGCCTCTTAACCCTGGCCCTTTGTAAAATTTGGCAGCAAAGAAAGGATTGTAAAGGGTATTTCTTTGTGAGGTCCGAGTCTTTGCAAGATTCACAGAACTTAGAACCCTAGATTCAATGAAAGAAAAGCATTTCTAGTGACCTCCTGGGGAATGAGTTCACCAAGTGCAGTAGCACCCTCACTATGCTTCTCTTTTGTCTTCCTGGCCTTATGCTTCTCTTCTGTCTTCCTGGCCTTATCCATTTCATTTGAGGTTAGGTTCAGAATCGTCAGTGCAGGGAAGGGCCCACTCAAACTTTTGTAAATATTGCTTGAGTTGGGAGGTCTCAGAATACAGCAGTATTGCCAGACGGAAGAAAGTGTCATTTCTGGGAAACAATCCCATCAGCACCTCGCCCCAGAATCTCAGGAAGACCTGTCTCCTAAATCCAGATTCATCCTTAGCTCAGAAAAGTCAAAAGCTGAATCTGAACAATCAAGTTTCTAGGTTGCGAGACAAATGACGTGCTCCATAGAAGACTATTGCTCAGAAAGGCACAATAAAATGCTTTGATCCAGCTGGACAATTAAGAAGTACTTAAGATGGTGCAGAGGCAGGTGGCACATCCAGCCATTCAACTAGAGAAACACAGTTTAACATCTAGAAAAGAAACGACTCATTCTTTTTCTTCCACTGAGGTTCCTATAGTCCAGTATACCTTTAGCCACTGCAGTGCTTTGTGATAAGAATACATGACACTTATCCCAATCCTTCCAATGAAAATTCTGTCTGCTTCATTATGTTGTGAATTTTTTATTACTGGAAAGAAAAAAAAACATTTTTTTTTTAAATTTTACATGTAAATGCAGTTTTAAAGAAATTACACACTTGAAAAACACGGTTGTTGTGAAATTATTAAATATACTTTCTGAAATATTTGCCATTAAAAGTAGTAACTTCTTAAGTCTTACCACCAGAAGTAGAGTAAATAACCATAGTTTATTCAGATGCTATTTCATAGTAGTCTAATTCATCCATAAGATGCTTGGAAATGTAATGGCATAATTTAGTAACATCATTATTTGTAAAGTAAGCTTTGCATTTTCTGTCACCGTGAAGAAATGTTGGCAATTACAGAACTGAGTACAAATTTTTCCAACAATATTATAAAACCACTTTGGAAGCACTGTTGGTATTCTAGAGCAGTGGTCTCCAAAGTGGGGTGTGAGCACAACAATCCATTCAGGTGTGGGAAGAAAATATTTTTGTACTGTTAAAAAATAAAAATAAATAAAATAAAATATTTTTAAAAGTAGTGTTTATTTTCATCTTTATCTCATATTTTTAACTTCTATTTTTGTGTATGGTTTATAATGTACTTAATATATTAGTGCAGTAGTACATGTATATAATTTATAAATAAAATAAATAAAATGGGGGTGAGTGCTCAAAAATTTTTTACTGATAGAGGTGCCTATCAGTGTGGAGATCACTGCTCTAGGGAAGACAGACTACGTTCCAAGACCCACCAAAATCTTCTGTCTGTGTCACAACTGGAAGCTGTGATAGCTGTTTTATAATATGAAAGTCTGTGGTCAGAAAAGTCATGTCACATATCTGGAATAAATATTCATCACGTTTTAGTAGTTAATACAGGTTGAAAAAGATCTGAGTCATCCATTATAAAACGCTTTAATATCCCACTGACACTTGACTGAGCCTTAGTTTCCTGTAAACTTATTAGGAAGAATGATACAGATACGTAAATGAAGGGACACAGACAGGAAAGGGGTAAGAAAACCTGCCAGAACTATTAAAAAACTAGAAGGTGTTTTGTGGACCCAGCCCTTGCAGAAATTCTTGGTTCTTTAGAGAATGAAGTAGTTCTGAAAATGCAAATCACTGGGGGGGGGAGGGGGGAGTACTAATGAGATACATGATGTAACCCTGTTCAATGTGTTTTGAAACATATAAATACATATATAGCTGTATTTACAGGTCTAAAGTTTATTTATGCTATTAAGAGTGTGACACTTCACATGACAATACTTAAATATGTTTGCCTTTGTCCTGAGAATAGGGCATTCTTATTAAAAGACCACCAATTTTGGTTTCTCGATTTCACAAAGCTCAAATGTTCTTCTTTCAGAACTTTGACTTTAAGTTTAAGCACTGTGGATTTTACTTCTACTAGAAAATGACTTCTATTGAGCATTTTGGCTGATTGTATTTTCACCTCAAGAAATTCTGAATGTTGTAACATAAAATTAACTAATATTCAGAAAACAGTTTTCAAATTTGGTTTTTTACCTCTTTTAAAAACTCTACAAAGAATAGGGATGAACAAAAAGCACTTCTTGCATCTTAATTTTACCTGCATCAGCAAAATCACAAAAAGGAACTCCTGGTCTGTCTGTCTCAGAATCTCTGGTTAGCATTTCAGCAATACATAAAGACAATTTCTGAAGATCATCAAAATGTTCACATCCAGTTCTTGCATTAACATACAAAGCTCCCAGCTTGGTCCAATCACTTTTTTCCTTGCAATGCTGTGAAGGCGGCAAGGGATAAATATAAGCAAACCTGCTTCCAGAACACCAAATAGAAAATACACTGAAATTCGAGAGATACACCTGGGATAGACTTAAAGCAGAAAAAAGATGCAGATGAAACGCTACTGCCACAAACCTCCATGTTCAGTATGACACAGTTACATGTTGCCTAACTTGCATGGACTGCTAATCACTTCTGTCCCTCAAGAAATTAAAATCTTTTTTCCATTTATGTCATGACCCCAACTGGGGAAGCTCATAAATTATTCATCTTATTTAAGAACTGGCATTCATCCAGTATTTTACTATCTTTTTTTTGCACAATGCATGCCAAATTGATGGTTATTTTCTAGATGAATTAGTCTTTTGCTTGCCAGATCACTTGATGACTTTGGTGTTAAAGGAGTAAAATATCAGTCCTGGTACTTCCCTTCTTAAATTTTGGTCTCAGGATCTGCGCAGCAAGTGTGATAATAAGTAAACTATATTATAATTGTGCATAATAAGTAATCTGCCCTTGAATGTGAAAGATACGTGTCCAATTAAAGAATTTTTTATAATATTTTCTTATTCTTTAAAATACCTGCTTAAGTGTTGCCAACTACAGCCTTTTACAACTGTGCCTTTTTATACCAGATATGAATTCTATCTGCTAAATAATATATTAAATATTTTTTTGGTGAGGAATGATGTACCACTACCAATTACAAGCATAACAAATGTAAGGCATAGGAAATAATTGCTTAAAATTATAAAATCTTTGAATTAGATGCAAAACCAAGATAAAAATGACAAATATGTAAATTAAAATACTGACATCACAGAAAAGCCAAAGACAGCTTTCCCCTGCACGTTAATCTTTCCCAAACATGGCTTTGCATAAAATTATTTTATCATGAACTCAATATACTTAATAATAAAGCCCACTAATTTTAAATTATGTAGAAATTGTTATTTCTTGTAGGTTTAAAAGAGGTCATGGTTTAAGTATTCCAACAGGCTTGAAGAATGCACATACTGTACCTGAATTTCAGCCACTGCCAAGTTGAAGTCAAAAAGCCAGTTCTTTTCAAAATGTCTTTCCTGAAATCTTCCATAAGGAAAAAATATTAATACTTAATTTTAACACATCCTATTGAACTAAACTATGCACTAGCAGAAGGTCATATGCATTATCATATATGAACTAAGAACTGATGTGATTTTTGATCCTATTTACTGCACACTATGCAAAGTGGACACTCAGACATTTACAATCATGCCAAGGGAAGTCAGTACATGTATTAAGCAAATAACTGAGCAGAGCTATTTTCACAGAAAATATTCCCTTGTCTCAGTAGAAATGTAACTGAAAAGGTATGAATAAGACTTGCAATCCATTAAGAAAATGCAGAACTGTATTCTATGTATTTCTGACATAAAGGAAAAAAAAAAGTTAATTACTTGAAAGAAAGTGCTATTCAGCTTCAAATACTTACGAGCGTACTACTTTATTCTGATGCCGCCACTGAAACAATGGACACATCTACCCAGTGCGATGCTATCACGTGGAGATACATAACCTACACGTGAATGAGCTAACACATGTAGTTGAAGTAGCACAGCTGATCAGTCTTCATAGATAACAGACTGTTTCTCCGTTTGTGCTAAAAACACATGTGTACTGAGGCAACCCGGAAAGGGTCATTCCTTTGTGAATCAAATTCTTGATCTGAGAAGTGATAAAAATTACCTCCAACATGTGTGGTAAGTTGCACTGGTAAACCACTGAGATCCGTGGCTGAAAGTTACTCTATGGGAAAAGTATGAAGAGCAGCAAATAATTTTTACAGTGCTTCCACTTGAAATAGTGATGGCTTGTTTTCACACAGTAGATGCTGCGTATTTGGTTTCCTCTAAGAATCAAAGGTTGCTTTATGAATCGCAAATTTAGTTTCTCAGCTTGTGTGTGTGTGTATGATGCAGGTGATTAAAAAAAAAAAAAAAGGATCACAATCTTGTGCCAGTGATGGGGAGACATCAACAGTTTTGGAACAGATCTGGGCTGTGATTTCACATTTTGCCCAGCATAATCCAGCAGTACTTAAAAAATGACCCTCCTCCCTAGTTGTGATGGTACAAGTGTTTATGCAGTTGCACAGTAAATGAAACTAGAAAACTACTTCAGATTATAACTAATCCTCTTATTGCCTAGAAGGGTTGTTTATTGCAGAAGTACTGTTTGCTTATGCAGGCCTAAATGATATATTAAACCATGATGTTTCTAATTTGACTACACTTATATAAACTTGTAGCACAGCTGGGAACAGATTGTACAATGATGATGGAAAAAACTAATCGTAACTGGGGTCAGAATCTAAGTTTTGACTTAACAATCCTTGATCTTTGAAGCACAGTAAACTGACAGCACTTTAAAATACAATTAGGCATGATATGATAGTATTTTTATCCAAAACACTAAATTTGCATTTGCTAATTGCCTTTTAAAGTTTTTACATAAATTTATAAAAATAGAACCTGAAGAAGGAACTAGACAGATAAAATTATAAAATAGCTCCTTAAAGACATACCTGGATTTTATGTTCAAAACAATATTTATTTCCTGACTAGAAACTTGCAGTTGGTGAAGGAACTTAATAATATAGTCAAAATGTTCAAACTCAAGGAACATACCAGCATCAATGAGCTGCAATATCAAACAGGGGGAAGAAAAGTAAGCATACAAAAAATTGTGATCACTTGCGTATTTCCAGAGGCAAGTGGCAAACAACAGTGGGAAAAACATGTTACAGTGAATCTCAGTCAAAAAGTAAGGGATAAATGGAAACCCGTACCAAAAATTGTTTGTTCAGCTAGTCACAATATAATTTTAAAAAAAAATAGTACTGAAATAATATTGAAGTAATATGTTTGAGTTTTAGAACAGGCAAGGTATTTCAGAAATTCCAACAAGTAGCATTAGTACAATCGAACTCATACCTTACAAAAGGTACTGATTAATGTAGGCACAGCGTCTCTTATATTCAAAGAAGCCACATGCTCAAAAACTTTCAGAAGAACATCTACAGCTGGCTAATTTAGACAAAAAAGGCACAATCAGTTTTGCAACTCCATTCAATTAGAAAGCTTAGAGTTTTTATAATAGGAACTTTTGAATTGCTCTTTTTTTCCCCCAAGATTTGAGTACCAGAGTAAAGACAAACTTATTACTACAAATGGCATAGTACTCAAAAAACTAAGAAACTATGGATCAAAGATTTTAAAAATATTACAAAGTCACCTACCAGTGTATTGATTTGTACAGTTACATTCAATATCTGAAATACTTCCTGCAACAAACAGTTCTTGAGTAAAGAAATGAGAAGATCATTCAGCACTTCAGAAGCAAAATCCACACCAGGAGTAACTTCTCTGTAATATTTCATGAATATTTGGACTGAAAAAGCAATTAAATTAATTTCACTTTGGGGTAACTGATGCTAACTATTTAAACAAATTATTCCCTTAAATTTTAAATGCAGTGTAACAACCCTTAACTATCCAGGATATTATGGGTCAAGGATATGGAGAAAAATGGGTGAGAGGATCCAGTTTGGATACAGTATTAACCTTACTAGACCCAGACTGACTATTCTGAAATACCTCATGTCATTGAGCTGAACACCATAAGCCCTGTAGGTTTCAAGAAACCTTAGCTGATTTGGTGGAGCACAAGAAAAATGCACAAAACCAGGTTAGATTTGGTAATCACATCAAGGTAGTTAAGGCATTTCCAGACACGAAGCTCTAGGAAGTGAAGTGCAGTGTTATCATGATGGATGGTCTTACAACCTGTTCCAGTGCTAGCCTTGATAGACACGTACTGTAGCCTGCTGGTACCCAGTGTTACCTGCATTACAATGCTCAGTGAAAGGACTAAACTAAAGCTGTTTGCGTGCTGTAACAGCACTTCATTTCAAGAGCTTAATTCTGAAGTTTTTGGATTTCTGATATTTGGCCAAGGTGTCCAAAAGTCCCTTAACAAAATTTTGGTTCTGTTAAACCTCCCCCCTGCCCCAGTTACTCATTTCTACTCTTAAGTCTAGTTCCATTCAGGGCAAGTTCATCTTCCATGGAAGTAAGATTTCTAACAACCTCCTGAGATAACTGTGTATCTAAATACCTAGCCTCAATGGGAAATTTGAACATGAAAACATGTGGATTGGATGTATTCCTTCGAAATCAGAACTTCTTATTCACTGTTGAAGTGGCACCCATTTCTCTCCTGACAGACTATTTAATTTGCTGTAAATAAGCTAAGCATCAAAGATACATCAAAAGTTACTATATCAATACCTGCACGTTTTAGAAGGCCTGATTCTTTGATACTAATGTATGTCCTAAGTATTGCCATGCAAATCTAGAAAAAGAGGAAAAAAAAATCCATAGTAAAATGTTACCTCAGTTTATGCCAAACAAAAGAGCTACCCACAAACATGAGTTCTATAAGGAAACAAGCTTTACATTGCTTCTATTTAACCCGTACATACTGACAAATGGTGTAAGAAGGTAATTGGGTCTGTAGGCAAAGGCACTGTCAAAAGGACAGCAAATCAAATAGAAAAATAACATAGATGAAATGTTTGGGAAAGGAGCTGCTGGGACCACAACTGCATGCATGTGTGGGTATATACTCATAGCAAACAAAAAAAAAGAATTTGAAAATACAGTTACTTTGGAATTAGTATAAATGTGGAAGACTGTAAACAAACAGAGAAAGGGAAGCAAAGAGGTGAAAGTGAAAACACGATAAACAAAAATTACATGAATGTACCAACTAAGAAATCAAAAAATCATCTAGAAATGAACTGATCATCACAAAGAATCACTCATAAGGACACAGAAGAAAACTAACTCGATTTAATGAACCATTTCACCCCAGACCCACTTGATTAAAAAAAAAATCCACACCTAGATATTTTAGTATGTTATTTGGTATTGGAACATTCTCATCTTAGCATCTTAAACTGTCAGCTTTGTGATACTTACACATTTTGCTCCATCTCTGCAGATGAAGAAACAAAGACTACTGACACTAAATTTTAGAATTCCAAGTTAGGAAAAAAACCACCCGCCCTTTCAGATACCCTTTGTCTCTTCTGACCAATTACAGTCTTTCTGCACAACAATGTAAATGGGTCATATTTAATACTATTTTGTGAAATAATAAAAAATCAAGAGACAGAAGATGCCCTAAATTAGTAGTCATGTTATTACAGAATTGAGTCAGGTTTATTTTTACATGCAACTTCAAAATTAGACAGGATCAACTCACGGAGTTTGTTACATAGCAAATGAATTATCATCAAGGCAGGAGATACTGGCCTGTGGCCAAGACATCATTCTTTTTTTAAAACCATTAACCTGTTCAGATCATCAAGTCAAAGAACACAAAAATTGTATGTTGAAGTATGTTGAATATAAACAAAGCTTATTGTTTTTATTTTGAAAGTGTCATAATGTTGTTGAACTATAGTCTAAAATATACCTTTCAGAAAATCATGTAGAATCTTCGATCACTTATATATATATATATATATATATGCAGTGTCACTTGGCAGTGGGTTAACTCATTTAATCCAAATCTACAATCCCAGGTGGCTGAGGGCATTTCCAAAACAAACTTTAGCACATGCTTACAGTATGCAAGTTAGTTTGCTTTCTTTTGGTATCTGTTTTCCTCCTTCTTTGGACTGACTCCCCCAAAAAGCCAAAATTGCATCTGGAGCTCTGACTGTTCCAAGTATGAGTGAAATTGCTTGGAAAATCCCATTCAAGTAGTATTTAATCATGGGACTCGTTACGTTACATTCATAAAAGAAACTAAATGTGCGATTCATTTACAGCTTTAGGACGCTTCAGCTGATTTAGTTGTTTCAATTTTAAAGGTGTAACTGAACCTGCAGACCGTGTAAAAATGTGAGAATCTCTAAATTTTGAGTTAACCTTAACAGATTTCGAATGAAGGTACATGAAAGAGACAACTCCCATTTTCAAAAGGTAGTATAGATCACACTATTCCGTCACCTATCAGTTGGTTCCACAACTCATTTAACATGACAATTTAATAAAAACCGTAACAAAGGGCTGTGTATCTTATACAAGCAACTGACTGTCCAGTAAAAGAGTTTTACTACAGTAAAGCACAGAGGTGCTTAATACAGAAGAACAAGCACCAGAATTTATGAAATCCTTCAGCATCTCCCAGCCAGTGTGCACTCTGATGTTTAATAAGGGGGAAAACCCCATGCTGCAGGCCTTTGCTCAGTGAGATCAAAACCAGGATCCTTTTTACAAGAGATTCTGTTTATGAACCCTGTGGCATCTTTGAGATGCCATATTAAATGCCACTTAGATGCCATTAGATGCCACTCCATATTAAATGTGGCTGAAACTGACCAATAGGTTCAAAAATTATTTAAAAGCGGTTAGAGACAGTAATAAAAGGACAGTGCAACTTTAAGTCTCATGTCTTTAGGAAGCCAGATTAAAAAAAAACCCACAACACAACAGAAGCACACACCCAAGGCCGTTAAGTTGCAAGGCGACATTAACGAAGACAGAAATCTTCCTATTTTATATCCTGTTTGTTTCCAGTTAGAGGTTCATAGGATCAAGAAAAATAGAGTAAGAAGTCACAAAAAGTAAACATTTCTTCAGTGGATACAAGTCCAAAAAATTAATGACTAAGGTGCACAAAGCTAAAATAAAATCAGACTGAGAAATACAGTTTGCATAAAGACATGTTTTCAAACCACTTATTTAACTGTGCAATTATTATCTATGCTACAGTCTGAAGTGTCATTCAAGCCAAACTGAATTTCCTGTAATTTCAATTTATGCCCACTGTCTCTTGTCCTTTCACTGGGCACCACTGAGAAGAGTCCAGCTTCATCTTCTTTACACCCCCCATCAGATACTGATACACCTTGTTAAGATCCGCCCCCTGCCTTTAAATACTTTAGGGAGTATTTAAAACACAGTCTTAATAGTTTTGTTTACTTTGCCTAATACAAAAGAGATTTCACTGTTTGAAATTAAAGGCATCTTTTTAAAAAAATAAAACCTGGTAACTTGTAGAACGTGCTGAGCTTCAAGCATGCTGATTTTCAAAACATGACGTTTTTATGAATTAAATCACTGCTGCTGTTGTTGTGTGATCAACCACAACTGTGGAGAGTGTTAAATCCTAGTAAGTTACGCCTTAAAGCATCAACCAGTTAACTTACTGAAAAGGAAGAAATACCCATTATGGGGAAAGCTATTTCTCTTCAAAATTTTGGTAACAATCATCACTGAAAACATAGTACTAAGCAAGTGGACTACCAGTCTGCGTAACAGTTCCTAAAGAGATTTATTTCCCCTGTATTTGACTAGATGACTTCGTTGCTGCTCTACCTGTCTTCCATTTATGTACTTTGGTGCCACCATGAGGTGCTTGGCCTATTATAATTTTTAAATGGACAGTTCTAAAAAAAAAAAAAGTAAATACACAAACAAATAAACCCCAAAGTATACTTCCAGGCTACTAAGAAAGTTAGGCTAGGTTTGGTGGGCAGAACAGTAAGTGTGCTGGAGTGCTGCACCACAAGTAAAATAAAATTGAATGGATTTTTAATAGTTTTAGGCAAATAATTCTTTAATGTGTCTGTATATAACGAAGCACTACAAACCATGATAATTCATACAAACTAGCTGAAAATTACTGATATGCACTACAGCATGCCAAAGATATTTCACAACTGAGGAAAAAACATCCCACACAAAATTACTCTCAAATAATCTTAGTATTTTTAAGCTGTCAATTTTCAAAGGGGTTACAAAGCATTAGGAAAAAAAAACCTCAGCTCTTTTTTGAGACATAAAAAGGAAAAGAGAAAACATTGAGAAAAATAAAACCAAATTACACTGATGTATTTTAAAAATTCTGACACAGTATATTTAAGGTATCAAGGAGATGGATAAGCTCCTTTAAATGCTATCTTTTTTTTTAGTATTTATGTCTAACAGGTTCACCACAAGTTATTTTTTACATTTTGATTCTGTAATTTCTTACTTACTGACACCAATGATAAGATTGTACTCATACCAATAAGACGGCAGATAAGAAATAAATCTTGTAAGACCTGATGAGGACAATTTTAGGCATTTGTCTTTCTTTAGTTGTTTTAATGTTTTTGTTTGCTTCCAAGTGACTTATGGAACCACCTAAGTCTTGGTTTCATACAGCCAATTCCAAAATCTTATTACATGACAGCACAATTAGCTTGCCTTGCACAGTTCTTGGAAGTATTACAGACTCATAATTTCTTTGTTAAATGGTTTGAAAACACATCTACTTTGCCCACCACTGGAAAAGTATTTTTGCTTGCAAATATTATGAGAATTGTTGCTCCATTTAAGGAGATTAGAGCATCTTTAAACAAACGTGCCCCTGTTACACAAAACTTGCAGAAAGTAATATACCATAGATGGCTTTTGACTTTAAGAATATATACAAAGTCTGGGTTTGCTTACAGGTCTCTGACGCTTGGGATTGAAATGTCTCAGAATCTCCCCATTCTAGTACTCTATATTCTAATTCTTGCTCTTTTGCTGATGTCTGTTCTCTTAAAAAGTTTACTAGTTCAAAATGCTACCATTTTTAAAAAAATGAACTTTGAAAGACCTTGCGAGGAAGAATTTCTGAACATTTTTTTGATCCATCAATCTCTGAAATTTACTCAATTTTCATATCTAAATGAACAAAGGAGATGTAATTTTGCATTTTAAAAAGTGTTCACACTTACAATCTGTTCCTTTCTTCAATAAATCTCTTTACCTTTTCATCCCCTTGTTCAGGAACATGACAAAACCAACATTTTGCTCTTTCGCACCCACGCAAAGTCATGAAATAAAATCTGCAATATTTCCGGGGCAATTCAATCATCTCGAGGATCCGCTGGACTGAATGAGAAGCCTAAAATAAAATAAAATTAAAACAAGCAGAAAAAACCCGACAGATAATATTTTTTGAAAGCAAACATGCTTTTTTTTGAGAATTTCAAAATACCTACAAATTATAAACAAAAGCAAAAAATATGTGACCTACAATTAAACCTTTGAAACAACCCTCATCTCTATACTGTATTTGCAGCATTCAAAGCAGACCAAGATCAATCCCTTGTCATGTTGTGTTAGTGTCTAACACAACAAAAATCTGTCTTGAAGACCACAGACAGAGAGAATACAAGAACTGCTAAATGAGACGGACAATGAGTAGAGAGGAGGAAGAAAGGTGACAAACTCCTGCATGACTCTGGATAACAGTCTGAGAATTCTGGGGCATCAATTTCCTTTACCCTTTTTCAGTGCCCAGCATAATGGATAATGCAGTCTGTCTTAAACATGTGAAACCTTGTCTGCTTTTTAGTTCTACAAAAACAATAAAGCAAAAAGCATTATTTGATTTTGCTTAAACTGGAGATAGAAATCAACAAAGCTCTACTGTGATTAGCTGTCCTCTCATCATTGATTTTGTTCTCAGAAATCGTATTTACTCAGTGATAACATCTTTAAAGGAGAAGAAACATAAACATGCATAGATTTGTAATTTCTGACTAGATATATGGAGAATTGTCTGAATATTTATAACAAAATTAGTGCCTAAGGATCAGAAATCATTAAGGATTTAACAACTCACAATTGCATTTTTTTGCATCTTCCATGGCTCAAAATCTCCATAATTTTGCAATGGCAGTAAAGGACTTTTTCCTGAAAATCTGTAATCTAAAAATTAGGATGGGGGCAATAAATGGATCATGTAATAAATCATACTGAAACCACTCTCATTTATCTTATTTTCCTTTATATTTATAGTTCCCTCAAGTCACAGCAATGATTAATGAAAATTTGATTAATACAATCTAAAACCAGTAATTTAAGTTACAGTTTTCTTAAGTATCCTAAAACTGAGACTTCACACAAACTTCAAGAGTAAGCACATTTAAAGTAAAAACTTCGCTACTTTATCCAAGGTTTCTAATCTAATTTACAGAGATGAGAAAAGAAATGGAATAAAAATATCCAGAAGTTTTAATTTCAAAAGGAAACACCCCCCCTTATCAGTAATCTTTGCATTCCCACATCACTAGCCAAAAATTTAAACTGTTTTTCCAGAATTGAAATAAAACCTTTCATACTCTATGTTTTAAGCAGTGCAATATCAAGCTTAAGCCCAATGTAAGAAACTGGTTTCTTAACCATGAAACTTGGTTTTTTTTTCTGAAAAATAAATAATGATAATGGCAGATAAAAGTTCAAATTTTCAACTCCATATCTAAAGAGAAATAAGAGCTTTTGAATGCCTTGCTTTCTAGGGTTCCCATCTGGCCCCTTGAAAGAACTGGGTATTCAAAAGGCAGGGTGCTTAGCCCTTTCTGACAAACTGTAGTTACTAAAGAGCATCCAATAATGATGCATGTTCTACTAGAGACTTGCACTAGGTACGTGGCTCTTAATCCGCATGTCTTTCTAAACAGATGGGACTATCGCAGGATAGGAAGGAGAAATAAAACGTACAACAATTAAAATATCTAAATGTTACGTACTGTCACAGCTGCACACAATTTTGTGCAGTGATGGTGGGCAATTTGGTAAATTCAGGATTGGATAAATTTAGTGACAGGAAAGAGACTGAGAAAACAGTCAACCACTAGCTGCAGAAAAATGCCACTGGGAACTTGAGCTCAGAAGTCTTTCCTCTAGATTCTTGCTGTCCCCACAGCATAGAGTTTCTGACCAGGTCCTTTTAACAGTTTGTACTCTCCCTGCTGACTGTATGTCAAATTTGTAGGCGAGCAGGCACTAAAGTGAAATAGCCAATCCTGCCTGCACAGTTCTGGGGAAAAAAAGGCTGTTTTGCCCTCTCCTAGCACAGAAACTCTTGCTTTGGCAAGCATTTCAAGTGATTTTAAGAAGGAAGATTTAGAAGAACTCTTCAGCAGCTGTATATACTTTTAAGGCCAAAGACATGAGCAATTTCAAACTACTGTAGTCTAGAGTCATATTTCACAGTTGCTTTTTATAGCATCTATGTTTCTTGCACTTCCTGAAAATATTGTTAAATGACTGCTTGGTAGAGCACCATGGAATAAAGCCCTGGAGGGAAGAGGGGCCCAAGAAAGCTGGTTAATACTCAAGGACCACCTCCTCCAAGCTCAGGAGCGATGCATCCCAACAAAGAGGAAGTCAGGCAAAAATGCCAGGAGGCCTGCATGGATGAACAAGGAGCTCCTGGACAAACTCAAACACAAAAAGGAAGCCTACAGAGGGTGGAAGCAAGGACAGGTAGCCTGGGAGGAATAAGAGAAATTGTCCGAGCAGCCAGGGATCAGGTTAGGAAAGCTGAAGCCCTGATAGAATTAAATCTGGCCAGGGACATCAAGGGCAACAAGAAAAGCTTCTATAGGTATGCTGGTGATAAAAGAAAGACTAGGGAAAATGTGGGCCCTCTCCAGAAGGAAACTGGAGACCTGGTTACCCAGGATATGGAGAAGGCGGAGGTACTCAATGACTTTTTTGCCTCAGTCTTCACCAGCAAGTGCTCAAGCCACACCACCCAAGCCGCAGAAGGCAAAAGCAGGGACTGGGAGAATGAAGAACCGCCCACTGTAGGAGAAGATCAGGTTCAGGACCATCTAAGGAACCTGAAGGTGCACTAGTCCATGGGACCTGATGAGGGAACTGGCGGATGAAGTTGCTAAGCCACTATCCATCATATTCGAGAAGTCATGGCAGTCCGGTGAAGTTCCCACTGACTGGAAAAGGGGAAACATAACCCCCATTTTTAAAAAGGGAAAAAAGGAAAACCCGGGGAACTACAGGCCACTCAGTCTCACTTCTGTGCCTGGGAAGACCATGGAACAGATCCTCCTGGAAGCTACGCTAAGGCACATGGAGGACGGGAAGGTGATTGGTGACAGCCAGCATGGTTTCACCAAGGGCAAGTCCTGCCTGACTAACCTAGTGGCCTTCT